GAAAGGGGGATGAATGCTGTGTGAAACCTCTTTTATAAGGACATTAATTCGATTCAGGAGGGTGGAATCCACATAGCCTAATCACCTCGCAAATGCCCTGCCTCTTTATACTATCACATTGGGTCTAAGTCCAAATATGAGTTTTGGAAGTACACAAACATGAAATCCACAGCAATGCCTTTACTGAATTTTTATCTAGCTATCTGATCAAATACTTAGAGAGGGGTGTGATAATTTAGCCCAGTCTTATACACCTTATATTAAAATAAAACATTATTTTTCTCTCTCCTGTGGCAGAAATGAAAGAATACTCTTCACTGAGGAAATACCCATTTTCAGTGATTCTGTTACTTTTGTCTTATGCTAATAAAACTGATAAAATTTAGCTTCTAAACTCTAGAAAGGAATATAATAACTATGACATCATACATAAATGTGCAATACAATTTTATCTTCTGGAGAAACCTATGTGTTAGGACAGTTTTGATCAGTATCTTCTTTTGCAAGCAAGAAATTTGAAAGCAAGAAATTTGAAAACCAGAGAGCTTAAGATACTTAAAGCCATACAATTAATATGCAGCACTGCTAGAACTCATGACTCAGGTTTCAGACACTCATCTAAATATACTTTACACCACACAGCTGAATAAGCAGAGACAGAGAATAAGAGAGAGGTTTAAAAATTCTGAATTAATACAAGACAGTACATTTAAAAGGATTCTCAAACTATTGGAAAGATGTTGCAATTAGGAAGAGGGTACCTTATTTTTATAAAGTAGTTAAGAGTTATTTGCTACTTTCTTCCTTTGTCCTTATCTTTGTAAATATGACTGAATATAATTGGGCATCCAGGACATAATAAAGCATCAGTCTGTAAAAAGTGATAAATTGTATTTAATTATCAGATGGAGTATCCCTGGCCTTCCCCCATATGTCTACGTTCAGAAAGTTGAATGTTTTTGCAGAGAACACAAATTATGAATGATCCTACTCTAGACTATATCAATGGTTAGACTTTTAAACCATCTTTTGAATAAATAAACAGAAGGTGAGCAGTGTTCCGAAATTATTAATTCAGGATAGAAAGAACAAATTATTGAAGAGACTGCCGTGGTTTCATTTAGGTACTGCAGATTCACTCTTCTGAACACCATTTTTTTGTACCTGCCGCAAATCATCCTGAAGCAGGGTACGGTGCTCTCATTGAGAAGCTGGGGTAGTGCACATTAAGCTTCCAAATGTATTACTGCTCGCCAAGGAGAGGCGAACCTGAGACATCCTTGAGCATTCTCTGCATTACCTCCCTGACCTCGCAGCTGCTTTGAATAGCCTGGTGGATAATGAATGCATACTGCCTGCCTTTCTCCAGAGATGTCCCCTTCCCCTGGATGAGTGCCTTTATAAATGAAAAGCTTATATTGCAATCACAGCTGCTATCATTACCTTCTCTTGTTCTCTGTCCTGTAACTGCGGGCAGATTGAGGATCGCCCCTTCCTGATTGATTTTATCTTATTTGGACTATTTTTTAAAGCAGGTTAGCTTTTTCAGACAGGTGTGCCACAATGCTCTCTGAAAAGAGAGTGTGTGTAACAAGTCAGGTTACGTGGACCTTATGAGGGAGTGTGCGCCCAGCATTAGAGAGGTTGTACTTATTCTCGGAAGGATTCAGCTGGAAGTTCAGGAGCAGGAAAATAAATCACATGTTCAAGATCTGTTGTGTTCCACATTAGGAAATGGATGTCTATTTCTTGCATTTTAGTTTGCATTTTGTGTCATATACCACACACCTAGCTCACCTGCTAAAGACAAACCAAATTTTGTCCTCTTATATAAAAAACTTCAGAACACATTAAATATCTACTCCCTAAAAATGTTTCCGATTGTGCAATGAGAGTTGAAATCTGCGCAGGGAGTTCAAGGGGGCTGAGCTTCTGAATCAGGCAGACCCTACCCTTCAGGGTTCCCAGCAGACCGGTGGTCCTCGTGTCCTAACTAGCTGTGTGTCCCAAAGAGCAAGACACTTATGCCTGCAGACTTTGACTTAGTTACCATTAGTTCACAGGTTACTGTGAATGATACATAAAATGCTGCACGGAACGTTTCGGCAATTTGCAAAGGTCAGTGAAGTAGCATGTTATAGAACCTGAGATTCTGTGAGTTTGATGCTGTGTGCATACTGCTGCAATAGTATTAATCACCATTATCATTACTCTCGTAGAATGTTTCTCATGGCGCTTTGCCAAACCTAGGTCCTACGAGCAGAGCATCTAAGTCTTTATGGTTCTATTTTGTGTAATTTTGTTCTATTAAAAAATATGCATACCTTGCATTTATCTTTGTAAATTATGCATGGATACACTATTGCCAAATGCGAAAACAGGTAAATTACATGCATATAATTTTGTGAAAGAAAATTCTCTGAGGGTTTCTGAATTTTCACAGGACTGTTTTGGGGGAAACAAATGCTGATATAGCAAAGACATACTTTGTTAAGGCTTTGTGAATCCAATTCTCATTGGCATATATGACATGTGGTTGCCCTCTCCAACCTCATTATTCCAAACCTACTTACCAATAAAAACACTGTCCAAAAATCAGTCACTTTCAGTAGGTATCAGGATGGGTAAGGGTCATGTAATGTAACAGGTAAGATAAACAAGGATCAAGAGCCCACTTAAGAACTCAAATCATACTTTTCCTTCTTCTACTGAGCAATGACCAAGTGCCAGTTGCCTAAGCAGGGCAGACTTGGAGGGAGAGGAAGATGATGACCATAATATTAATTTTGCTTCACTTTCTATGGGCAAATGATTAGGTGAAATGATTTCCACATTCTTTTAATACATGAGATGTATTTGTATAAAAATCTATAGTTTTCTTTTAAATAATGCCAACAATGTATAATGTTATTAAAATGTAATAATGCCATGTCATTTTGAACAGTAGACCTACCCGTCTTGTTTTGTAGTAGCCATTGTGCAGACATCATTTAAACTGAACAAAAGTTAGGCCATGGATAATAATGTACACATTCAAATGGATAATAATTTATATGTTCATAGTTTATGGCAAAAACATCATCTGAAGGTTTGAAATTCTCTTTCCACCATGGTCAGCCTGAAACTCCTCACAGTTGTGGTTTTCCAGTGGATAAGCACCAAGCAAATACTACAGCTAGAGCTTAGTGTAGAGTTCCCGACTTCGAGGACAGCGTCCTTTCCACTACATGAAGGCAAACAACAACTATGGTCATGGAATTATTAACCATCTTAGATATTATTTAAATTTGGAAGTGGAAAACTTCTAATATATACTATCTCCTAAAAAAGAAGAAAAATAAGCAACTGTGGGTGGAACTTATGCTCTCATAGGACAGAGGAGGATTAACAGTTGCTCACTGAAACGAGCCAAACCATCATTACTTAAGATCAAGGTCAGAGCTGTTTCCTAAACCAAGCTCCTCTCTGACAACATCTGAACTGGAAAAATGTATTCTTGGATCACAAAAGTAGCCAACCCTTTGCAGTATGCAAAATATTTAACATTTGCGAAAACTAAAGTATTGGCTTAGCCTTCCAGTTACTTATAAAATAATTAAGGAGGTCTCAACAAAGTGACTCTGTGGAAGAGGTAAAATGAAAGAAGTCTCACAGTCTACAGATGAGTAAAATGCTGAAGAACTGCAGAGACAAGAGGGATATGGACACAATGGCAAAAGGAGCGGTTCATGGAAGAAATCGGAAGGCAAATGTGGTGAGAGTTACCTAGTAAAGCCTGAGAGGTAAAGAGCCCATGGGAAAAGGAGTAAACTTTTAGACATGAAGGCCCTTCATGAGATGACACTAGCTCTTCATAGCTCAGCCATTCACTGCTTTTTTCCATGTGATCAAAGTGAATCTATGCGCTAGTCCATTGGAAGAACCCATTCTCAACCCCTCCTTTAAACAAACACAGTTTCTTCTGCCTTAAGCACTCTTTTTCTCCCTCCTATTTCTTGTAAATACATATTCCTGTCTCGGTGCTCTATTTAAAAACACCTTCTGTTACAAGCTTCCCTGACACACCCAAGAAAAATTGGTTTGTTCTTCTAAGAGGTTTGTTCCCACGTGCCTATGAGATGCATGACAATCCCTTTGTATACTTTTGAATGACAACCTTATATGGAAGAAATGACAATCCTTTTTTTTTTTGAGATGGAGTCTCACTGCCTTAGCCTCCTGAGTAGCTGGGACTACAGGCGCCTGCCACCACACCAGGCTAATTTTTTATATATTTTTTAGTAGAGACGAGGTTTCACTGTGTTAGCCAGGATGGTCTCCATCTCCTGACCACGTGATCCGCCTACCTCAGCCTCCCAAAAATGCTGGGATTACAGGTGTGAGCCAGAAATGACAATCTTTTGAGCAGATATTGATTTGAACTCCAGGTAATGCACTTCCCCTGCACATGACGTTGCTGAATGTTTCCTAACCTCTCTGGACTTCAGGTGCCCTCCTTACAAAATGGGGATCATAATAAAACCTTATTGATCATATGTAATGAGTGGATAATGTATGTAATGGCATGATTACTCTCAAGTACATTTTAGAAATTCAGTATGTAGAATTCTGAAACTTATTTGTGTAGATTTTGCTTCATCTTTAGCTTGTGAAGTACTCAAGGGAAGGATCATACCTTACTCTTAGGTACATTGTCACCATGTGCGCACCTGTCAAGTAGGAGTCATTGTTTAAAATCTGGCAATGACGATGGGTTTTAAGGAGGAGCCAACCATTACTACTGAGGAGCTAGAATGAACCCAAGCAGAGCTTCACAGAGATGCATGGCTTGTATATTGCAGACTGAGCAGATCTGCCTATAGGGGGTGTATACATGGAGCGGGTGAGGAAAAGAAACTTGGAGACAAACTGTTATCAGATGAGTGGTAGAGTCCTAGCTTGGCCACTGACCAGCCTTTTGATGTCTAGAAAAAAAACACAAATATTCAAACCTAATTTTCTTAATCTTCAAATGATTTTTATTATTTTTACAACTCCATGAGAAGACACTGAGCAAAGGGGTAGAAAAGCAAGAACATGGCCCTTGTGCCCCAGTCTATGAAGATGGTATTAAAAGGGTCATTAGAAGCATTCCATTATCCCTGGCTACTGCTTCCCCTCATGATGTCGCTCCCTGCTACTGACCTGACGAAAAGAGAACATGGGTTATTAATTGCATTTTTTCATCATTACAAAAATATGCATTGGGCTATTCATACAATGGAAAGAAAGTTTACTACAGGAATAAATTAATGTGAACCCATAAGAATGCTGAAACAATGTGTCTGTGTATCAGTTTAGCTAATTCTCCATGAAGAAATCTTTAATGCTTTCCCTAATAAAGTGTATTTACTTTAAAGTGAAATACATCAATAAATATCTTCAGTGTTTTGGCATCAGATGTGCAGCTGGCTTCATTGTTTCAATAGGCACAATAATAATTTGCCTGCATTATGATGATAGAACTCAGAAGAATGGAGCTGCCTGATAGTGTTCTATATGCTGTTTTTAGCCAGAGTTAAAATAGACATCACACAACTGAATAGAATGCCTGATTACAGATTACATAAATTATGGAAAATATATTTTGATCCAAGGGATGCAGACATTGCCTATTCACAATTTGTTATCTGCTCATGGTACAGTACTTGATAAACTCCTACACTTTATTCTCCATGGGCTATATTGGCTCATTCAATTGTTTCCTACCAAAAAAATGGACATGTCTCTATAGACTAAAACATTAGCTCATATTCCATTTATACTTTGCCTTTTTCTCTTTTATATGATCCAGTAGTTGAATAAAAATTGCCTGAAACACCACCCTATTTGAACTGACCCTGGTAATGGACTGTGTAAGTTCCATTCCTGACCACTCTTGTAGTCAGGTCCATTCCTGAACACAGGAAATCAGATGGATGACACAATGATACTGTTAATGCAACATTCTGAGAGAAAGTCAAGTGAAGATAGCTTTTCAACTTACATACATGACTTTTTTTTTTTTTTTTTTTTTTTTTTTGGTTATAGACGGGGTTTCACTATGTTGGCCAGGGTAGTGTTGAACTACTGACCTCAAGTGATCCACCTGACTTGTCCTACCAAAGTGCTAGGATTACAGGCGTGAGCCACTATGCCAGGCCTGAAATGTAAATATATGGGTTGCCTTAAAGCAACCCATGGAGAACAAATAATTTTAAACATTTATTAGCAAGAATATAGCAAGTTTTTTCTCAAAAGGATAGTTAGAAATACATGTGAAATATAGAAAAACTAAAAAAAAATCCTGTATTTCACAACTAAGATTTTATATTTAAAAAGTTGGATATCAAACTCGTCATTATGGCAGAGTTAGGTCTAGATTATGAATGCATAGTTCAATTATGTAATATGTTGATATGTGTAATAAAATTAAAAGAAAAAATGATGCAGAAATGCAGTGAAGAGTTGGAAATAGCAAACTGAATTGCCATTGGAAATGTGTAAGCTGAATTTAAAGTTCATTATAGCATTTTCCATGTAAATTATTTGAAGATTTCTCTCTTTGGCATGTAGTCATTTCTTACAAACGTATTTTTTCCTACTCCCTACTGGTGGATTACATTTCTTGAAATAGCGCTATTTTTTTCCAACTGAGAGATGAAAGAGGAATCGGAGAGCCTGGGGACACACATGCAGGGCAAATATGGGCATGTAAAGGATTCTGTGACGACGGCAAGGTCTTCTGGAAGGACATTGCTATATTAGGCATCAATTACAAATCAGAGAAAGGAAGGAGGCATATTTAGGCTCAATTTGGTTTATGTCTCTGAAAATTCCCATGGAACAGAGTGAGAACAATTTTTGGAATGAGCTGAAAAATGTTTATCATAGGGCAATAGCATTGGGACAAGAAAATAAAGAGCAAAGTTGAGAATGGTAAGAAACAAGAATTAAATTCTGTCTTAGGAAACAAATACATGACCAAGATAAAATATACCTCCCTTCTGTCACCCAGGCAGATATGCTGACCTTGAATGATCAGCAGTTCAACTGACAGCAGGAGGAATCTGATAGGCAGAGCAGTGGTTTAGAGGGGATGTTTTGTTTTGACCAGAGTGACTTTGATGTGATGGTAAAAAAGTAAAACAGTGAAAGTAAACTCCTGGTAGGATGTGAAGCCTCAACTAGACATTTAAGGATAATGATATGTATAGGATACCCAAATTAATTATTTGATATAAAAAATTATTAAGACCTTATTATAATAAAAGATTGAGGAACGATTAAAAGATACTAATGATAAAGAATATGTTATATATAATATATATACCATATATAATATATATACCATATATATTTTATATATATATATATTTTATGGTTCCTCACATACATATCTTTTATGGTTCCTCACTCATATTATATATATGGGTGACAAATGGGCTTTTACACTGGGAGGTATCAGTAGAGAACTGGAGGAGCTGAAATTCACAGAGCTGTCATCTGGATTTAGAGACTTATCTCTATACTAGTTTTTACCCACTGTGTGCAGTTGGATGCATCATTGAGCTTTCTTGACTTCATCATACTCATCACTAAAATGAAGTAGGGGCTTAAAACATATATCATTTCTGACCAATTATCTTGAGAATAAGAGATACATACTGCGTAGTACAGAATTATCTAGAATTGCAATTTTTCTTACTATTAGCTGGAATTTATTCTTCATTGTGATGATATAATTCAGAGGACACTGTCATCCTTGTATAAGATTTCTTTTACTGATATCCATGTTATAGTTCAAAATTTCAGTAGTTCTTCAGACTGGAAAGATAATGGAAATAAAGATGAGAAAAGAGTAGCCTATCTTAAGCTAGCAGTTAAAGCAAAGGCATGGCTTGCCTTGTGTGATGGTGCATATTCTGATGTGGTTAGTATTCAAAGCCTGAGATGTGAGCTCATTCCCCAGGGTGGGTCAGGGCTTGGAGAGCCAGAGGTGAGTAGCAGTGAAAGACAAGATATGGCTAAATATTTTGTTAGGAGCAGGATGAATAAGGCCTTGTTAGAGAATAATCCTTATAATAAAGGTAACAGGCAACTATCAAATGTTTTTAAGTTTAGGACATGAATCTTTATTATATTATTTCATTTTCTTTTAGCTATTTGTGTTTTAGGTATTCCTTTTTGACTCTATTTGTTCATATATACTTATATTTCTAATAACGAATTCAAAAACATTACCTTCTGTCACTGTTACAGTTAAAATATTCAATAAACCAGAGAAAGTCTATGCTTATTAGTCCATTCTCACGCTGCTATAAAGAACTGCCTGAGACATAACTTTTAAAGGAAGAGGTTTAATTGACACACAGTTCTGCAAGGCTGGGTGGCCTCAGGAAACTTACAATCATGGCAGAAGGAGAAGCAAACATATTCTTCACATAGTGGCAGGAGAGAGAAGTGTCAAGCAACGGGGGAAAAGCCCCTTCTAAAACCATTAGACCTGTGAGAACTCACTCACTATCACGAGAACATCATGGAGCAGCCATACCCATGACTCATTACCTCCCACTGGGTCCCTCTCATGACATGTGGGGATTACGGGAACTACAATTCAAGATGAGATTTGGGTGGGGACACAGCCAAACCATATCACTTCTCTGTCCATAATATTTATTGGAATTAAAATATCCCCACTCCACCCTCCCAGAGAAAGAAACAATTCCACATTTTAAAACTTAGAGTGAAAGAGTACTGATTTATTTTCTTAGTATATATAAAGTACCAATGGATTGGGAAAGAATCCAATTTTAAATTTCTGGACTAGAACAGATATGAACTGGCTCCCTAAGGACAATAGCCTGTTTCCTTTTTCACTCTGGGAACCACGAAGGACCCCTCTGCTCATCACAACCTCCAAGCTGGCTAAGCTGGAAACATTCTGAAAGAGACAGACAACCTGAGAACATGCAACCGTTTCTACATTGACAATTTTATATCTATAAAATGAATCCAGTGCTCCAAAATGTCTCACAAATCAAGGCAATTTCCCCAATACAGTGTGAGTTATACTACAATAATGGATTAACTCTGCTATGCAGAATAAGGAATAAATGAATCACCGTTCAATATTTTACCAATTACATATATTCTCTAAGGAGATATCTGACATTTTTAGTTATCAATTCCTACAGAATTCATTTGCCACTTTATTTTACCTATAACGAGATTTGGACAGAAAACATTTACATTAGTATTACCAGATATAAAACTTATTTTGGTATTAAAACTAACATTTTACTTTTCTTCTTTAGCATCAAACAAAATGCAGCACTCCACCTGAGAGATCTCCATATCTATAGTTTTAATATACATATACATATATTAATAATTCATCTTTATTTTGTAATATAACTATAATACTTTATGTTTTTTAGATTATTCTAAGTCCTTAAGCTGCACATAGTAGAATGAAATATTATTTAAATTTTTAAATGTGCTACAAGGAAGGATTTTCAGCCTAGCAAAATTTAATCCTGCTTACTTTTTCCTAGCATTTTCATATTTAGTGTATTCAACTTTGTTGTTTGTCTAATAATACTGAAGAAATATTATTCACTATATGAGCATTATTTACTCATCATTCATACTGACGTTATTACAGTGAGTAAAGGCAGGCATGTCCCCATTTGTAGAGTTCACAACCCATTAGGGAAGGCAGACTCAAACTGTCACACAAAAATATAAAAAAATTCAAAGTATGATGCCTTATACAGAGAAACTACTGCTGCCAGGTGGAAGTTTAAGAGGAGTATGCATTCTGGAGGAGATAAATAAAAACTCACAAAATTCTACCAAGAAAAAGGCATCATGGAAACGATCATGTACCGCAATCATAACTAAAGAGAACTACTTTGCAAACAATGTTCTTTTTTTTTCCTAAATCAATGAAATTAAATGGTCTGGAATCTCAATGTCATCATTATACACAATTTTAACCTATATTGTCAATTAAAAAGGGACTGATATTTTATATTAAAATTGAGTTCTGCTCATATGTAGGACGGTAATTTGAAATGATTTGTAGCAGGATGATTTGTGTCAGATCCTTTAACTTCCCCCAGGAATATTTGTGGTAGCTCATGTTCCCAAATATCATATTTTATAAAGTATCAAATTTTAGATTTTCATAATTGAATATAAACAGGTTTTTGGAACAATGCTTCTCTAAAAGTAAATAATCATGTACAAAATATATTCTATGTTGATGAGATAGACATTGAAAATATTGCTATCATTTATGGACTCAATATCACATTTGACATTCAGATGGCAAATATTGTTAATCTATAGCTTTTGTTTTCTTTCATTGTTTAGCTGACACCGTTTCATGACTTTCTTTATGAAATAATTTGTTTTTACTTTCTCTGGGGTTAAAAAAAACCTGTATAATTTGTGTATAATTTAGCATAGTGACATTAACTAATTGGGCCATACAAGTTATGCATTATATTTATATATAATATAAATATTATATTTAATATTGGACATGGAGAGCACATGGAGAGCATGATTAACTTAAAACCCATTTAAGCTCACTTAATTGTATTACAAAATTTCTCTACTCCATGTCAATATTATAACAAAACTAAATGTGTAAAAGTAGAAGCAATAAATGCATCTTTTCTTTAAAGTCATTAAAGCTTTTCAAAGCCAACGAGAAACATTTTATTATAGTGACTTATCAAAAGAGGCAACCATCAAAAACCTCTATAGATTAAGACTACTTCAAATATTTGTATAGATCTAGACTACTTATTGATGATATTACTGAATTTAAACTACTTTAAATCCAACTATTAACAAAGCAGTTTTCAACCAATTAATACTGAGATAAATAATTTAGGAAAATTTTGTATTTGGGTTCATTTTCAAGTGTATAATTGCTGAAATGGAAAATAGAGCTGGTGTCTATACAAGTCAATATTTGCATGTTAGTGAGTTACTTAGAAATAATCTAAATATAACTATACTTCAGAGAATTATTCCCCAGAATAAATTCATTGAAATTCAATTCATTTCACTTTATTTATCTCAATACTGAGAAGTGAATATATCCCTCATACTGTAGGATTAATAGCATGGTTATTTTTATGCCATCTGGCACTAAGACACATCCCAGGTCCTCTGAAAGAATATTGGATGAGGACAGCCAGAAAATGAGGAGAAAATAGAATCTAAGTAAGACAGTCACACGGAATAACAAATAGCTCCTAAAATTTCCCTCAGCTTCTTCTAAATTTACTTTTTTTAGCTTCATTAAGTATGACCTTGCTCTTATGTGACTAAGAACTGTCAGCTTTCACAACTCTTCATTTTGTGTTACTTCAGCCAGGTTTCTTTACTCTCTTCTTTTAAGTCTAATTTTGTCCTATTTTTACCTTCTCATCATTGAATGCACCTATTGCTTTTTATTTTTTTAAGCAAGTAATTGTTAATGAGCTTTCTTTGAAGTGCTTAGTCTCAATATTTTCTAAAACTGAAATCACAAAAGTGTTCATGTTCTGCCAATTTCCAGGATCATGATGGTAACAGGAAATAATACATAGCAGATCATGGACAGAAAAGCAGAATGAATATTGACTATCACCTACGATACACTTATAGGTGATAATTGGATTGGTCCTTACATATAGAGTGTATTGTGTAATTCAAGGCATCATCTGATGTCACAAGGATAATTTTAAAACTTTTGAAAGAATGTTCTAAGTGGTTATATCCAAGGTTATGTTGATTTGACTTTTTCCACTATACATAGAGGTTGGGTTTATTTTCAAGCTTCTAAATTGTTGTAGTGGAAAAAAGGGCTTTCGGGCTGCCTTGAAACCTATGAGCTTTATACTCAATTTCCATGGCTATGAGGTTCCATGTGAAGCAGCTGCAGAGAGAAAGGCAAAGGTTGTAAACACCTAGTTTATCTCTGTATTCCCAGTTCGCAGAGTTGAAATCACTCCAGGAGATCCACAGAAATAAAGGGGAAGCCCTCCTTAATCGTGTAGATGTTTAATTTTCAAAACATAAACACAGAAAACACAGACACTTGCAACCACACAACCTCATCTTTCGTATATACATGAAAATATGCACCATACTTAAAACTATGTGATTCCTGTTTAGAACTTTCAGCAATTACATGGATTATAGTCACAATTCCCTTTACTACAAATGTGAAATAATAAAATCTATCTCCCAAAGAAATAAGAATTGGAATAATATAATGGTGTAAAATGCTTGGCACATAGAATGCAATAAACTAAAGGTAGCTAGCTATTATTGAAAACTAGCATTTGTATGTTTGTGTCACGTACAAGTAACTACATTTTGAAGGCAAAATAAAGTCTTTTTTCCAAAAGTGCAATTCAGGATGGCCAAATAAACTCCTATGGGATTTGATCCTTTTTCACTTGCAACTATGGATGAAATATACAAATAAATACATAAGACAGAAAAACACCTGGAAACTAGAAGCACTAGAAAATTGAAGAGAAACAGGCAGATTCCGAAGGAGTTGAACAGCCTATGGTGAATCACCCATTTTTTGGCTTTTAGCTAAGCCAAGCATGTACCGAAGTCAGTGCTGGTGGGAAAATCAAAACTCTATCCTAACATCCACTTTCTTTCTGAACCACCAAAACTACATCCACCAGAAGATGAGGGAGGAATCCCAGAAAGGAGAGCTCCAGACTGGAGAGCCCCAAATTGTGGTTCTAGGTGCTGCCCAAGACTTTAACTGACTCTCGAGCTCTGAGTAAGTGGAGCAGATTGCAAACGGGACAGCTGAAGATAGAGGAGCTCCATGAGAGTGGATGTGCACACCACCCTCAACAACAGAAGCGTTCAGTTTGAGTGCAACCAACTTAATTTCCTGCCAAGAAATAAAAAATAAAATCCCAAAGATGAAATAAATGTATACATGAATTTTTGGAGGAACATAACAGAGTCTAAAATCTCCAAAAATAAGTCAAACTCACAATTCCAGAAACAACAACTAGTCATTCAACATATTTCAGCCAGTTTAAAATTAAAAATTAAAAAAATAAAAGGCCCCAAAACTTAGACCAAGTTTGATAGGACCCAGATGTTGGAATTAGCAGACAAGAATTTTAATTGCAGCTATTATTATAACTATGGTTAAATAAGTAAAGGAAGCAATGCTCTTGGTGAAAAAAGTTAGAAATATCAGCAAATAAATAGGGGTTATAAAATGAAAATCAAATGAATATTTAAATACCAAAAATACAATTTTTGTAAAAGTGGGTTTACTTGGAAGGGCTTAACAGATTCAAAATGACATGAGTTAGGGAACTTGATGATGTTAGTCCAACGGAAATAATCTAATCAGAAGAATATAAAGAAAATAAGACTGAAAAAATATAACGAGCAGGGCATCAGGCTTCTTTGAGACAATATCAGGCCTAACACACGTTTAGCAGGAACTCCAGAAGGAGAAGGGAGAGGGAGAATAAGGGAGAAAGTATCTTTAATGTACTAATGGATAACATTTTCCAAATTTGGCAAAAAAAAAAAAAAAAAAAAAGACTGAAGAGGCTCTGTAAATTGAAAGATAACTACAAAGAAACCATAACCATGTATACCACAACCAAACTGCTTCAAAAGCGACAGAAAAAGCTTGAAGGCAGTCAGAGAAAACTGACGTATTAGACACAGGAAACAACCGTTTAAATTATTGCTGATTTTACATCAAACACCATGGAGGCCATCCATGGCAAACAACATCATTACATTGCTGAAAGCAAAATGAAAGAAAACAAACAAAAAGGAACTGTCAGCCTAGACATTGATATCATGTGAAAACAACCTTCAAGAATGAGGGCGAGTCAGAAAATCAAAGGAAGCTATGAAAGCTATGAGAGGGTGTCAGTGACAGGCACGCAGTGGAGGAAATGTTGAGATGGTTGCTCGGGCTTCATGGAAACAACCTGCGGTGAAAACTTGGCTCTTCAGTGACGAACAGAAAGCGTTATAGGTGGCGGCCGGGCGCGGGGGCTCCCGCCTGTAATTCCAGCACTTTGGGAGGCCGAGGCGGGAGGATCACGATGTCAGGAGATCCAGACCATCCTGGCTAACACGGTGAAACCCCGTGTCTACTAAAAAACACACAAAAAACTAGCCGGGCGTAATGGCGGCGCCTGTGGTCCCAGCTCCTCGGGAGGCTGAGGCAGGAGAATGGCGGGAACCCGGGGGGCGGAGCTTGCAGGGAGCCGAGATCGCGCCGCTCACTCCAGCCTGGGCGACAGAGCCAGACTCCGTCTCAAAAAAACAAAAGCATTATAGGTGGTAAATATTTTGGTTAACATCAGAAGATACTTTCTCTGAGTTTCTTGAAAGTGCATGAGACTTTTTAAGTAAAAATTACAACATTGTGTTTTAGAATTGGAATTGCATGTGTTTGTAATATATATGATAACCACAGGGGGAAAAAAAAAAGAAAAAGGTTTGGTAAATGAACCTCTAAAAATGCATTCTGTGTACATTAAAAAAGAAAGTGATATAATATTTACTACAAGAAGACTGAAAAATCTTGGATATTTCTTTAATTCCAAGAGTAAACACTAAAATACTGCCAAAAGTATAATTAAAACACCAATAAGTTAATTAAAAGAAAATTCTTAAGAACATTGAACATTCTAAAGGAAGGCAGGAAAGAACAGAAAAGCAAAAGTAGAGAAGACAAAAAGAAAAAAATTAATAATAATGCAATTTCATACAAACTGTTAAAAAAAAGTATCTTACTGTTGCAGTACCAGATAGAAGGCTTTCATGGAAGTCTTCATTTCGATATGCATTCAGTAATGAGTTTTTGAATAATTACTCTTGTGTTTGACACCATAACGGGAATGTGGAAGATAAAAGTAGGCAGCATCCCTAAACTCAAGGAGCTTAGAGTTTAGTGGGAGAAAGAAAGAGGAGCATAACATGAGAATGCAATCCAGTTAGTGAAATAGGGACCACGGCCCAGGAACCTGCAGAGGTGTGAGGGGACCACAGGTCAGAGAATATTAGACTGTGGCCACTGGCTCAAGATACATCTACATGGATGCCTGTGAATGGGAGATGGAGAGGGAGGGTGATAAGAATAAGTCATTGACCATTAACAAATGTCAGGTAGTCTGCACATTTACTTACCTAGAGCTAATATCCTGCGAAAAACAAAACTATTTCTTTTCTGGTGAATATACGTGCTCATTATGGAAAACTCAGAAAACACACGAGAGCATAAAGTGAAAATCATTGGTGGTTCTATAGATAAGCGTTGGAATTTTGTTCACTTTCAGTTTTTAAAAATGGTCAAAAAGGTCTGGTGTGGTGGCTCATGCTTGTAATCCCAGCACTTTGGGAGGCCAAGGTGGGTGGATCACGAGGTCAGGAATTCAAGACCAGCTTGACCAATATGGTGAAACCTGGTCTCTACTAAAAATACAAAATATTTAGCCGGGTGTGGTGGTGCGTGCCTGTAGTCCCAGCTACTGGAGAGGCTGAGGCAGAAAAATCGCTTGAACCCAGGAGGCGGAGGTTGCAGTGAGCAGAGGTCGCGCCACTGTACTCCAACCTGGGCAATAAATCAAGACTCCGTCTAAAAAAATAAAATAAAATAAAATAAATGACCTTCTAATAGACAAAGAATCCATAGTAATCTTTACCAAAATGTTTGATTCTTTTCTCATCTGTATGAGAAGTTTACATTCCTGCCTCAGAGTAGGTGGTTTCATGCCTACCCATCATAATATATATTTGCACACCGTCTCCTATGAACAATAGTGTAGTATTTCCCTTGAGAAAATCAAAATGGAATCCATGACAAACTCTAATAAAATTGTTTAAAGACGGAGTAAATAGTCCATAGAAGGAAAGAATAAAACATAAGCTAAGTAAAAATCAACTACTGGGTTATCCTTCCAAGCCATTCAACGTTTGAACAGAGAAGGAAACTGACATTGTAAATTTTGCCAAAAATTTCTCCGCAAAATTATAACTATGTTTTGGATGATTATAACGATATTTTACATAGTCTAGTGCCTCACTAGATGGTGGGGCTGCATTTTGGTACAGTCCATGGCTGTCGCTGATACAATGAATTTTTGTCAGTGGTTTTATTATGTAATGTTCTAATTTGTACAGAAAATCATTATTTTATGGTAGATAGTTAAACAGCACAGGAATAGTTATTTCTTTTTTTCCACACTAGATATCTTGAAATGGGAATAATAGTTTTCATCTTTTCCATCTTTTTTAATCCTAAACTCACAGTTACACTGAAATGGTAAGATTAAATGAACTAGATATAGTTTCTGCAATCATTACAAGTGCCTCATTTGGGAAGTCCAGTGGTCCCCAGAGGATACATTTCATGTGTCTGCATTTTGACTCATAAAAACTAAACATGTTTTGTTTCAGTGATGATGCTTTGTGTTAGGCTGTCATGAAAGACTTCTTTCTAACATAAACATTTAATTTTCTGTAACCCTGCTTTTCATTTCTCTCCCTGATACGAAATAAAAGTTAAACTCCCTTGGCTAACAAATAAGATCCCCTCCCTGCTTGGAGCCCCACTGTCGTGCTGGCCTCACAGCTCGCCCCCAACACACTGTCTTCCAGCTACAAAATAGACTTCTTGACTCTCCGAGTACAGCAAGCTTTGAATGGTTCCCCTCATTTTCTTCTGCTTTTAACACTGCACAGAAGATATTTCTGCCCTTCTGCCACCCCTTTCCTAAGAAAACCCTAGATGATGCTCTATAGACCCCTTCTCTGGCTCTCCAAGAAGACTGTCGCTGATGTGTCTGTTTTTTATCCCCCCTCCCCCCCTTTTTTTTTTTTTGAGATGGAGTCTCACTCTGTTGCACAGGCTGGAGTGCAGTGGTGCAACCTCTGCTCACTGCAACCTCCACCCCCACCCAGGGTTCAAGTGATTCTCCTGCCTCAGCCTACCGAGTAGCTGGGATTACAGGAGCGCACCACCATGTCCAGCTAATTTTTGTATTTTTAGTAGAAATGGGGTTTCTTCATGTTGGCCAGGATGGTCACCATCTCTTGACCTCGTGATCCACCCACCACGGCCTCCCAAAATGTTGGGATTACAGGCGTGAGCCACTGCGTCCGGCTCCAGTTTTAGTAATTCTGTTTACAGGAAAACGTTCATACAATTCGTTGTCCAAACAACAAGAAGTATGTTTATCAAATTACACTATCTAATATAGAAAGTTTAATATTCCACAGAACGAGTTAGATGGTGAGATTGCATTTTATTCTTTTTGAATAAACCTACTTTGTGTAGGGTCATGTTGGATGAATAAAAGAATGGAAAAATTAAAATGCTGTTGTTGAAAATTATTCTGGCTTTAGCTACATGTAAAGCTATACAACAAAATTAAGTTAAATTCATTTAAACATTTTGAAATTAAAAAAACTAATTTATTTCTTGTGAAAGGAACTGATATACCACTTTATAACAATTATATGTTCTCTGGGAAATATTCATTAGTCTAGGAAATACTACTTTTCTACCAAAATCCATTTTAACTCCCAACTCCCTTTTAAATTCCCTGAATTTTACCTTACTTGAAAATCTTACTTAACCAAAATTTAGTATGGCAGAGAGTTGCAAAAATTCTGTCTCGGCTGTGATTCTTAGTTTTCATAATTATCTCTCCTGAACATTTTACTTGTAGAAAAAAGATGATAAAATAGGTGCAAACACTGAGAATAGCATTTCACTCAGTATCTTTCATCCTTGTTTTCTCTTTGGTTTTGCACGAAGTGACTCTGTGGAAACACATTTGAGGAAAACGGGCCTCGTACCCTTTTCTATGTCTGAATTTCAGTCTTCGCCATGTGGCAATACTTGATTTTCATCATACACAAAACTAAGAGCTCATGTTGTCTTGTTTCTCAGTTGTGGAGTTGCTTTAGGATAGATTCATTAGGTTTCACCCTGAGGGTATTTACAAAATACAAATGGCATTTGTCACTTGATTTAAAACATAATGTTGTTATAGTTACATTTGTTCTGTGAGGCTGTGTTAAATCAATAGTGATCAAGGCTACTGTGGGTGAGTGGGTGTTGTCCTTTGCGCTCTTGGAGCACAAGCAGAGCTTGCATTTGCCTCTCACCAGTTTCCATATTTGCTTGCGGTTTGGATCACTTCTCAGTCTTCACTCTTTTTTCAAACAAAATAAACTATCATCTGCTTTCAGGTTGGAAAAATAGAAATGTTCTTGGTTTGATGAGCAAAACAATCCACAAAGAGCTGTTAGTGGTTAGTAATGTGGTGCATTTCCCTTCTGGGTATAATCACATGAAAGACAATTACCACATCATGTAACTAATCTTTAATGGTAAAATTTCAGGCAGATATATTTAGAAATAATGCAAATTGTTTTCTATCAAGTCAATAATTAATGCTTACATCATTTATTTGAGAAATATTATTGGGTAGCTAGTATGTGCAAGGCACTCTGTGGTGTTCTATAAAGTTACGAGGACATGCCAAACACCGCTGCCCTGAATGAGACTTAGAAATACACACAATGACACAACAGGCTAGGCAGCAGATTACGTTTAAGAGCCAGAGATAAATGTTTAAGGTTGTGCAGAGAAAGAAGGGATACCTTGCAGGTGCAGTGGGAACAGGAGACAAAGAAGGAAGGAGATGTTGCCCATGATTGGCAGTTGAAACCGTCCCTAAGGAGAGGTGAATGTGAACCTGCAGAAATAATGGGTGAGCCTTCCAAACAGAGAAAAGAGCCTGAACAAAGGCTCAGGACAGGAAGCTCAGAACTCTTTCATCGTTTTGGAAATAAGCCTCCTGTTCCTGGCTTTCCCATTCCTTTCTTAGGGTTCCTTCTGACTTCATCCAAGGATATTAGTGGAGAAGGTCTCCTTCCCCTATTTTATTTTTCACCCAAATTGGAGGAGCATCAACGATTTGCCAATTTTCTATAATTCTCATTATTCCATGGGCCACTGTGTTCTTCTTTGAGCACTCTTTCTTATGGAAGACAGTGAAGGAAAACGTGTGTGTGTGTGTGTGTGTGTGTGTGTG